GGTACAAATAAGTCAGCTTCGGCGTGTGTCTTCAGCCACTGAATTAAACGATTCTTACCTCAATATTGACACTGCATCTTACATAAAGCAATTAATCATATGTTTACTTTTGTCTGGCAACGGTGTCGAAGCTTTCTCTCGAACGTACAGAGACGATGACGGGAACGTCAGGAACTTGACGGGAGTAAAAGAAGCGGCTCGTTCAGCAGAACTCAGGAAAACGAAGCGACCTGCCGCCACTGGCATCGGTTGCATGTCGGACGAGGAGGAAGCCGCGTCGCGATTCATATGCTGCTCATGAGAAGGCGTTGCTACCTTCGACGGCATCCCTTTGAGAACGGAGACGCAGCCGGGACGAGAGAACGGTGACGTCGTTGGTTCAGGCCCTAGAAAATGTTAACTTTCTTATGAACAGTGCGAAGCGAGAGACAGTTCTAACCGGTAACAACTGTAGTGACCGGTTTCCACTGGGGCGATACGTTTTCTTGCGCAAGTAGCGGCGCGGGTTGCTTCGTTGCGATGATGATCTCTTCACAGAGACTGTCGCTGCTATCAGCAGATTCATAACGCATCCGTTTCGCATTTGACTCATCTTCGTCCTCCTAAAAGACGATGCGCAAATAGCTCATTGGACATATTCTTAAATGAATGCCGACCGTCCGAACAACAGTCGTGGTTGGTGCATTTACCTCAGGCGGCAAAGCGTGCATATACTTTTCTATCGATGACAGCGAATTGACGTCTGACGAATCAGACGCTGATGGCTCAGCGATCTGTTGAAAGGTCGTCGGCGAAGGCCGTATAGAAGACTCGGATTTCATCGAGTGACAAACACATTTCTCACAGTCTTCGACGCTCTCAAATTCGTCCCCGGCACAGAAACTTGTCTCTGACTTTATCAGGTTGGACGGAATGTGCAGATGACCATTGACAACCGTCAGAATAGATGCTCAAATAAAACATTAGTTACACAAACCGGTAACTGGTCACAAAGGATATATCTGCATAACCATAAATCCATACAAGTAATAACATGAACAAAATATAAGATTGACAATGTACATAAATATGTAATTTTACACAAAGTATATAAACGTCGTACACTGATAAATATATGTAGACAAGACGACCGGAGAAGTGGTGACTGTGCCAAAGCTCATCGAGGAAAACTCAGAGAGGACTGGGCCTTAGACAGCAATCACTTTGACTTCAACTCAGTCCAGGTGATGAAGAAACGGACGTTCCAAAAACTTGACAAGCGCAAACAGTTGCCAAATTAATTTTCAGGATCAAATGAAATGTAAACCATAAAAAAACAAAAACGGCCGCAGTCCCCTGCGTACAGGTCCATTCAGACTTCAGACTACAACGAACTACCTCACGAAACTGATAGATGACCTATGACCGACTTCAACAGTGACGAAATTGGTACCCAGGGTGCTGCAAGCACCCAAATGAAAAAAACTGGACTTAGAGGGAACGATGAAGTAAAAAGATACACAGAAGCCTATGGTGGCCGCTCACGTAAGATACGTGAGCATGGCATCGAAACTAGCCAATGGCAATCTCCGTTAATTATGAAGAAGGATCAGTCAATTGTCTTAGAATCATCAATATACACCACACAAGGTAAACAACGCTCGTCTTCATGTAGATATTTCATTACTTACCAAAATTACAAATGTGCGTATTAAATTACGTATATATGTTATCGCTTAGAGTAGTAGTCCGTATATGTCAACGAACTATAAGTGACTTGCTGTTCAGTCCAAAGCGCAGCTGGTATTAGCTGACCATTATGAGGCCACAGTGAAAGTTAACAGCTTTGGGCTGAAAAACGAACCACTTTAAGTCCATATATGTTCCAAAACCGACATATCGCCTTCAAAATAAAAGAAGCTATTAAATTACACTTACGCCGTGTCAGTGTTCTCAGTTCGTAAGCGGTAAACACACCGGTTCCCCATATTCCTTCGCTGGAAGGCAGACTGTCTGTAAAAAATGCGATAAACCGTGATCTAGAAAATGCAACATGAAAATCAGCGTCTACCTTTCGACGATTCGTCGTCGTTGACCGACGGATCTGAGGTATGTATGAAATTTGCAAGAAATAAATCCAGTTCTCTCACGGCGATGCTGATGTGATAAGGGTTGACGCACAGCTGTGGAAATAAGCAATCTGGAGACTTCTCCAGTCGCTCTCCATCAGTGCTCTCCAGCGGAATACCCTAAAAACAAAGATATTTATAATAACTTTTCGTAGATTTGACTATTTCCGCAACTCACAGTCAAAACATTATTGTCAAATAATGTAGTTCCGGCAAACACCCACCAGAAATAGTTGAGAAACACAGAACTTTCACTAGCGGCCAATACCATTAACACTACGATCAGACAAACAAATAGCAAAAAGTGAATCTTCATTCTCTTCCACTTTAAGAAGTAAGTCGAAACGATTTAGGCATGTACAGGACAATGGCGTATCCGCTACGAATTCATAGACGTTTCGATATTACGAGCTGATTGCCTCAAATATATTTCCTCCTCATGGTTATCAAACCTGAGATCCGACGGTACACGAATCAGAAAAGTAATAGGTTATTTCAGTATTGGCAAGGGGATACAAATCCTGAGCGCTCAGCTAAAAGAAAAAGATTGATCGCTAACGGTTGCTTGGCCTAGATTTAAGGATAAGTCGGAAAACTGACACCGCAAATGAAAGCAGTAAAAACGAGGTCCCATTGAATAGGCGTCGCTGTTTGCGTGACTTTACAAGGTTCTTGATGCCGCATGCTGTGAGCCGCTGTTTTATTCACGGGGAAAACTAGCAAAACCAACTCTAAGCAAAACTCCATGGTAGTCAACCAAAAGACATTGTTCAGCTATGTGAATACCTTGGGTTGTCGCGTCTGAGAAAATAAGCAGCATACCTAAAGGAAGATCGAGGTCAGACAACATAAGAGTGAATCATGGACAAGCTGAGGTATTCTCAACCAA